CACGTCCTTCTAGTGCCGAGGGCTCCAGAGCTGGATGCAATGCTCCAGGTGAGGTCTCACCAGGGCAGAGCAGAGGGGGAGAAGCACCTTCCTTGGCCTGCTGGCCATGTTTCTTTGATGCATCCCAGGATGTGATGGTTCTTCTGGGCTGTGAGCACGTGCATTAAGGGATGAGGGTGTAGAAAGGACCATGCCTTGAGATTAGGCCCCAGACTGATGCCACAATTCTTGACACTCTTGCTTCCAGTAACTTTTGACATGCATCTAAGACACAGCTGCTGATCAGTGTTAACCAGAAATGACCTTTGTTAGTTACTGACTAAATCTTGAGCCTTTTCTTTCTGAAAAGCAGACCTTTTATTATTTTTAAATGTTGAAAAAAAAGGAGCTATGAAAGGAACTGAATCTGTTGTAAATTGAACAGTGGCAAATGCTCTGTTTTCTTAGAGTATAAATAAAGTTCATGCATGTCCACGTGTAGCTGTGATGACCTAAAAGACCTGAAGGTTGTGGGCTGCTTTTTCACTCCTCTACACAGCTTTGTAGCAAGTAAATGAGGGGTTTTAGTCAGAAATAGTCTTCAGATCTTGGCAACTGACCTCAAATCGAGGATTTTACCCTTCACATACTGTTGAGGATTTATTGGCTGGGAGGAGAATACACTAACAAGAATCTAGATGGTTCTCTGTGTGTTTTTTTGTGTCTGAGGAGGGGTGAAATTGCTCATTGTGGGTTTGTAAGCCCATGGGATTTTTCTTCAGATTCTGCTGCTTCCATACCCAAAATTGTGGTGCATATTGCAGTATGCCCTTTGTGTGTCTCATGCTCCTAGTCACAACTGCACAAAGCATGTGGAGGAGAGGAAACTGGGCGAGTGGGTAACTTAATTCATGAAGGAGCTGGAGGTTTACCACTAAAAAAAAAAGCTGAAATGGCAAAAGACATCTAGATACAACCTCATTCTTTGTTGCTCTGCTTCAGGAGACCTGGGAGATGCTTGTGTGGAAGCCTCGAGGCTCCTGTGAGTTCTCTGCTCTCCCTTCCCCTCCCTTGCCATCTGGTTTGAGGTTGCTTTTTGACTTGTGGCTTTTTGGTGTGAATTTATTGTGAAGCATTGTTAGTGGAAGTTGTCCTCTAAGAAGCAAAACCAGTTGTTGTTGCTGCCGGGTCACTTCTGTTAGTGGTTGTTGCTTTGAATCATGCAGAGAAAGCATCAGAGGCATTTGAAGTGGTCTGTTCTTCTGTTGCATCTCAGTTACCATGGGCTTTTTGTTTGTTTGGCCCAGGATTATCATAAAGAATCATAATTTGGAGAAATGGCTGCCAAGTTTTTTCTTTGGGTTATCCTTTAGGGAAGAGAGAGAGAGAAATGTAGCTGTGTTGCCTGCTCTTGTTCTTCCTCCAGACAGTCAGATGTATCATGGTCTGCTAGGATGGAAAGGTCTTTTCATGAAATCATCTTATAATGATTTCTCTGTTGGTTTGCATGGCTCACAGGAAAAAAAAAACCCAATAAATAAAATCCTATCTTGATGACTGGGATGTTTTTATAAATACCTGTATCTATGT